CGTTACTCATGCCCGCTTTGCATGCACTACTTTGTTACCTACAGATGGTGGAATTTGAAAAAGCCGTTCTATCCAATCGAATTAGTTATAAACATCTAATGTCCAGATGGCTCCTTTGAGGAAAAAAGTTGGCTGCGGTCATGTATAACAGAAAAATCAAACGGATCAAGTCAATTAATCAGGCTTGTACAATCATACTCCCTAATACCCACCCATATGCCAACGTTGCGATCTAGAATTTTCTACCCTACCATACCGACAGTATCGACCATCTGGCAACGTTACTATGACTAGACGGCGACCTGACCCCAACACACGTTCGTTGCATTCGACCCGTATATTGAAAATAATTCTCTCTATGAAATGTGTTGAATATGTCCAATACCGGGGACCGTATAAATAAAATTAAAAAAAATACGTTTTTAAAAACAAGGTTTTATATTTAGCTGGTCAAAAAATGATTTTAAAACTTTCCGATTGGAAATATTTAAACGAAAAAGAAGCTCCTTTGTCTCAAGTTTTCAAATAAAAGCGTGTTATTCCCTTTTTCCATCATGCTGTCATAACATAACCTGCTTTTATTTGAAAACCTGAGAAAACTATCGTTTAAGTGTTTCCAATCTGACAAAATCATTTTTAAATTTTTTGTTAAATATAACTTGTTTTTGAAATTAATTTATTATTTTTGATGTCAAATAACTAGTTTGGTAATTTATACGCAACTTTCAAGAACTCCATAAAACTCCCCTGTATCCACGGGGGCACCGTACCATTCATTCGGCTGATGCGACGGTTGTTACGCCACTGGTAGAGAACTTTGTATTTCAGGAATCATGTCCCCCTCTCCCTATCAGAGAGGTGGAAGAAAGCAGACTTTCCATATCTATGTCCCCTATAAAACGTCACTGACGCGGTTATTGACAAAATAAACAATTCAGAAAAAGCAATAATCGCGTATATTTTATTTTTATCGTCCTCTTCATACATTTTATCTCTTCCGTGAATGTCCTATGACGCACATTCACTTAAGTATGAATATCGCGTTATCCCTGTGGTTATACTCTGTACATTAAACAAACCTACGTGCAATATGATGAGCTGCTATTTTTGTTGAAATATTTGCGTTAATGTTTTGGTTTCTTTGAAAACGGTGACATCACCAAGCAACTTTCAAAATAGATCGGAATAAACATTTTCAAACATTACAAAAAATGTTTTTTTTCGCTTCGGTTTGGGCTGTTTATCATTCAGAATAAAAAGTACAAAATCTGCCATCTTCGTCTCCGAAAAGCAATAAGAAATCATGAAAATTTTAATATTTATAAACTTCCTAAATAGTCGACAAACATCCATTAACAAAATCCCAAAGCATTTTAGAAGATATTGTGATTGTAAAACTTTTACTTTCTACGCCTACTGGCAAGGAAGTATTGTAATCACGAAGAATTTCGAAAATGAGATATTATTTTTTGGATGTTATATGACATCTAGGTCACGAAGAACCATCGGTCTGTCTGTCGGTCTGTCCGCTGATCTTTGGCCGATCCATAACTTGGATAGTACCGCTCGGATTTTGATTAAATTTTTACACAAAGTTACTTATATCCCAAGGACGCAAACGCTTTGTGACAAAAGCAGCTTTTTTCAAACATTTCTTAGTAGTAAAAAATTTGGGGCGGGGTAATTCTACCCGCGTATTAGACATATTCCACACAACGTAGATTTCGCCGTACATTTGCCCTTAAAATTTAGCACGATAGAAAAATTATTTCAAAACGTCTCCCTGCGTCTGCTTTCTGGCTTCACCGGTAGGCGTGCCCGTCGTAATAAGTGCCTCGGCATGCCGCATTTGTCGCGTTTAACACGTCGTGGGAGCAGGTATCAAGGAGAGGCGACGTTGCCAGATGGAAGGTACTACGGGTAGGACAGGGAAAGAACGTCTATCGACTAATTGTATGGACATATTTGACAGACTTGATCCGTTTAATTTCTCCTTTATACAAGTGCGTGACAATTTTTTCTCAAGGGGTCTAACTTAAACTTGCTGTTTCCGATGGTCCAACCGTGGTTTGATGTTTCGAGCTTGTTGGCAACTCACTACCTATGCTTGGTCTCTGGGACATCGATGCAAAGTATGGCCTATTTTAACATAGTCTAACCGCTGACGGTGTTGCTTGGGAAGTGCAGAGTCAATCCACTTGACGCTCTTTTAAATTTTTAATCAAGCGAGCGCTGTATATTCTCGAGCTCAAGCATAATATACATTGTGCAAAAGGGCTGATCGCACACTTATAAATGAGTTGAAAAATGAAGTCGTTACCTTATCCGATAAGCTCCCGTAATTTTCATTGATTTGAATCTGAAGAAAAATTAACATCCCTACAATCAAATGAAAACATTACAACACGCAAACTGGTGTTTTTTTGTCCATACACATACAAGCGTACATATATCAAATGCTATTTATCTTTTTTCTTCATTAAATTAACAAACAATATAATATGTAAAATGATATGGAAATTTAACTTATGGTTATAAATTAGAAGAGGTATAAAGTACATAATTCAGTCCAGGAATAATAGAAATAATAATTATAATAAAACCAGGACCAGGATAATCAGTTTTTCAGTATGTAATACAATTTTACTACTTTATACCAGGTAATTTGAAAAGTTTCTAGACTCTACATGAAAACAGATTGAGAACTTGATTTCAATACATTTTTGCAGCGATAATCTATTTGATTTATACTTTACCTAAAGTGATCATCTGAAACCCCTAAAAAATCCGTCAAGAAATCATTATTTCTTCACTTGGTCCTTAAACCACGATAAGAAATGAAAGTCAGAATCGTATCCTAACAACCCACCAAGAGGTTTCTCCCAATGAAGTCCGGCAGGGGTATCACGTAACTTTAAAAGTGACATTATACCGATTTTTGTTGACATTATGCTGTTTTTTTTTGACATTATGTAGGTTATTCTACAAGATGTTAACTTAGCACTTAGTTGCACGTGTTGCCTAAACGTCATGAGGCTTGTTATCAATCTTTGGCTTTGCTGTGATGTAAAATCTGCTTCTGAGATGACATTACTCGAGGTCTTAGCTGTAAGTTGTATGTGTTGATGATAATTACATTGGGTTCTTGTCTCAAATACACTTAGTTGAGATTCAAAGCTAGAAATTAGTTGCGCATCCATATACAAATTTGCTGAATTTCAAAAATGAGAGAGATAAGAAATAATTATAATCACTGTACACTGTCGAATTGCAAGTCATATACATGCTAACAGTAATTACACGCATCCCGGGCGCGGTGATGATTTCCCGTAATTCTCCTCAGTTTTTCGTAATTTATAACTTTTCACATAAACTCTCTTCAGAAAGCACAACATAAAAATAACCCGTCAGGCACAGCCAATAGATGTACTTCACTGGCAGCATATTCAGTAATGATTTTCTCAGACAGAAAATATCACTGATTTTATACACATGCAGACCAATACACCCAATCATCCAGATGCGATCATGCTATTCAACCAACTTTCTTCTCAGATATAAAAACCAGAGACAAGCACCATTTGGCCTCATAAAACATATGCAACCAATAATCCGTTTAGTTTAGTTGAGTGATTCCTCCTTAGATGGACCTTCCCAACGATCCTAGTGAGCAAACGTGGAATGACTGTTTGCGCCCTAAAAACTACCTAGTTTGCAAGATGACATCTTATAGGTTTTTTTGACGTTTTATAGGTCTTTTACGTAATAGTCCAGCGGGCTATTAAAAGCGAATTGGCAGTGGTCAAATCTGGAAATAGAGGGTACTTTGTACTGTCGTATTCCCAAAGCTAATATCCCCAGACTAAACAAAAGACGAATAAGCATATTTAACGTACACATGCCGTTTAATTCTTATTATAGATAAGCCTAGATTGTTTATATGATTTTAAATGTCAGGAGCAAGAGCTCGGCCGTATCAATTTTCCTTGGTAGGTAAGCACGCTATGCCAGTTGGCTACGTTAGATAAATTAGGTAGATAGCGGTATTAAAAATTGACACCTTTTTCACTATGAAGGCTGACGTGAAAGAGAAATGAGACGGTCTGTGACAGCCAATGACTGAGACGCTCAGTAGCGGAACAACCAAATTATTTCACCTTAGTATACCTCAAATTATTTCTAAGCTAGGCCCACTCCTGTTTCTAATCTACATCAATAACTTGATCACAAAAGAGAACTTTCTATTCAGAACGATCTAGATACTATAATGCAGTGGTGTGATAATAAATAACCTTCTCGTTTTAATTATTTCCAAATGTAAAGTTTGTTCATATAGTCCCAAAATAAACCCGATCTTCTTTGATTATACCGTAAGTAGTGCAGTTTTGGAGAGAACAACAGAGATTAAATATCATCATGTTACATTTTCCTCTCCAGCTTGGACTTTTCTGCCTAAGTAACACGCATCATTTTCGAAGCGACAAGAATTCTATGGTTTTTAATGGGTAATTGCCGTTCTTCCCCTAACGCAACCAAAACTTTCTTTCTATGCAAATACTTGTTAGAAAATCACTAACGAAAATTTCATAAATAAAATCGCATTAGTTGTTGGCGTATATCCAGAAAAACAGGGTCAATGATATAGCAATCCATAGCCAAGAGAAAAATTCCTCTTGGGACGGGATTCGAACACGCGCAGCGCACGGCGACTGATCAGGAGACCGAAGAGTCTACCACTGCGGCCACCGCTGCTGCCTTCTGTAACTCTAGAAAATGAAAATAACCGTAAGAGATACGAAGTCGCTTAAATGGTGACAAAGTTGCGTATTTAGGTAATCAACAAAATGCCTCCTAGAAAGTTTCGAAATTCAAAGTACTTCCGGAGAGAGACTATAACGGTAATGCTAACTTGATCCGTTTGAGCGGACAATTTTGAAAAGCAATTTATGTAATACAATAAAATAATATCCTATATATGCAGAGATAAAAGATAAACATACCACATCTCAACTCGATGAGTCTGAAATCACAACACGAACGACAAGGATAACCAAATTCACCAGACAGCAGACAACCTTGAAAGCGCGGCAACGTCGCTGCCGCCGGTCGGTTACTAAGGTCTGGCTACTTTCGGGCGTGGTATGCACGTAGACGTATTCGCGACCTACGTCCTCGTCGTCTGCATAGCGCTGGAAGAACGCGAACGCTCGACAGTTTGCACAATTGCCAGATTGTCATATTCTATTGTATATCTGCCACTATATGATTTTGAAACTTTTAGCTGCAGATCAAACATTCGTCAATATATTTCGATATGTCAGACAAGCGTGCAGATGACTATCATGACGAATGAACATTTAGATTGAAACAGCATGGATGCAGTGAGAGGTAAGCTGTTAGTTTGCTACCAAATATCTCTCAGATGAACCAATATTCTGAATATGTACAACGTACTTGATAATAGGCCAATTTTTTTTTTTATTTTCGGTTAATAGATTTTTTAAACGTTTTCATAATTTCGGTCGGTATATCTGTACATATATCCTATGGCTGTTGGCGTTTGGCATTGCGTGATATTAGGGCTGTATGGTCAGTCGTTCCTACAATTAGAGGACGCCTTTATGTCCTCTTTGATTGTCGTATTTTTTTCTCACCTTCAAAAATTTCTAGATTGCACCTGTTCCGTGTGAGCATCAGTGAAGTTGTGTTTCCTTTTTGAATTGTACGAAATTTCAGGCTGGCAAGACATCATATAAATCAAAAAGATGCAAATAGATATTTGTGACATAACCTCAAAATGTAGCGCTGACACGGAAAAGTAGAAAACTATGAAAATCAAGGAGGTCATAGAGACGTCCCACAATTATTGTATATCGAAATATCTCCGCCATGATTTTCGTGATCTCGTTAAGCGCTTAATTAGGTGATCTCTTTATTATATTTTCTCGTTAGGCAATTAATTTTGGACTATAAGTTATCTTGTTATTATCATTTGAATCTAAACAGTAAAAAAATATTTTGGTGAGAGCAATATTTTCCGAATATTCTAGAGCTATTTTTTACGTTCCTCACGAAGCAAATCACGTACGTACTAAGCGTAATAATTATGTAAACTATAGTCTCTTTAGATCTCAGTAAAGTCTCTTCAAAGTAAGGACCACCATTGCGTGACGTTCAAACTCTCGCGCAGGCAGCGTCTAAAAATAAATACGTTGATTTTCGTTACTTTTGTGTATTTGTTACTTATTGCACTGCTAAGACTAGGTAATCATTGATTATATTCGTTACAGTGATTACTATGTACGAGTACGACTATTAAGAACACGATTAGATATATATAACGATCTGGCAACGTATAATGTCACAATCAACTTCCAAATGACATAATTTGCTACATTTGTTGAACCATAATTAATGTAAGCTGCCGTGCTTAATCAAAACAACAAAAACCTCAATTTTATCACAAAATGAGAGTATGTATTTTCGAGATTTTAAGGTGACATGTTTGCCTTAAAGCTTCTTGAAAACATCTTGTATTTGCTAGCTATGATTCAAAACGCAGTAAAACAGTTAATCTGGGCGTCATAAGATGCACGGCATCAATAATGTAATTCCTGTTGCTCATCTTGTGCTGCCTTTGAGATAAGTCGCATCGTATCAGTATAAAAAATCCTATGCGGAGCCGCTGATCTGCGAGAATGTGCCATAGCTGTTTCGCTATTTACTATATATACTTTGAAAAAATATAACTTGATTTTTATCAGCCTGAAATTTCTTAAGATTCAAAAAGAAAACGTAACATCACAGTAGGAGAGCGCTGACGCTAATAATAACAGTAGGAATCTAGAAATATCCCACGCTGTCTGAAGGAGACAAAAGACTATGAAAATCAAGGAGGTCTTAGAGGTGTCCTACAATTATTGTAGAAACTACTGACGCAGCATACATGCCTTTCAAAACGTATCTACATGACAACGAAGCAGACAGCTCCTCCAACAGATTGCCGATACATACAAAGAAAACGTATTAGGCTGTAAAGCTTTAAGGGGGAAGGGGGGTTGGGCCCCAAAGCCCCTCCTTAATATGCCTTTGCTAAGAGCGACAAGCGTTTGTTTTGATACAAAATAATTGGTTTTCCAAAAGCTACGATACACAATACACTCATTATGATAAAAACTATTTTATTTTTTTCCATCGTACTCGATACAGAGAACTTCTTTCCATTGTCTCGGCAACAATGTATGGTGCCTGAACTGTCTTACAAGGGTGTCTTAGGGTGCGTTTATATTGGAGCTTCGATAAACGATAAGAGCGGCGATAAGAGCAGCGACAAAAGCAACGCAACAGTAGCGACGGTGCTTTTTGAGAATTAGATAGATCCCACCTAACGGCCCTTTTTTTAGTAAAAAGGACATATAAAGCGAGAATTCTGTCCACATCCTATAAATACCCAGATACAAGTTTGGAGAGTTTAATAATTTGTCGAGAACAAATCTGATATGATGGTTCTTGTCTTTTTGGTCCCACAAAGCGGGCCTGATGAATATCCCACATATTAATCTTGTGATAAAATAGACGAAACAATAATTATCGACGCTGTTAACTTTGCTTTGCTTCCAACTCAACTCGTTGCTCGACTATAAACGTCTGCATATAAAACTACGAAATAATTTTCTCTGCTTCGCTAGTATCGTCGCACTTATCGTTTATCGAAGCTCCAACATAAACGCACCCTTAGATTGATTCTGCAAAGATATCACGATCAGGCATCAGCTCAACGTGGCAACGCTGTCGCCAGACATGTGCCATGTGCTTCCTCTTTTCGTGTTTCTCAAACGAAATTGAATTAATTTCTAGCTATTATAATTGATCTTATTATTATATCTGCCCTATACTGTTAGATTTAGTGTCAAGTCGTGCATTTAGTGTGATCCAACAATGAACAGCTACTGGTGAAGAACAACTCTGATAGAATTTGCAGGTGAGGTTGAAAATCTGTTGAGGTTATGCTGATTATTTTCTTTGCCGGTTTTATTTCCCACGAAATATTGTAACCGCGAAAAATTTTTAAAATGAGACATTGGGAAGAATTAATAAATTCTCAATCACAGGGTCTCCGATTTTGATTTAACTTGATTTCACAAAAATATTTTCAGCCGAGGCCCGAGGCACGAGAGTTATTGTAAATATTGCATCTTCCGTATAGTGTTTAGCGAATCCAAGTGTCATAAAAGCAGATAGCGGACCGCCCGGTGACGCGATATGCACATAGGTTGGCGCGATATTATGTACAGGGAAAACCAAATTTGCCTGACGGCCTGAGTTCAATGTGTACGAGAGAGAAGCGCGAGAAGTGTGTATCAACACATGTTAGAAGCCGGCTGAAGAGCGAAGGACCACCACATTGCCTATCAACGGTGATGCAGAAGGTCCTGTAATCTGCCGCTTTTCCAATATGTTACACAAGAAAAAGTTCGCACAGGCTTCTACAATAGGTTAGGTTACTGTCAAACCCAAGAACAAACATTTTGATCAGAATTATTTATTTCAATTTTGATGCAACTCAGTGTTTCAATTTATTTTAGAATCATCTTTGATTTCTTCCGATGGTGATAAAAACAACACATGTACCGCAAAATGTAACAAATAACGTTACGCAATACAAATTATTACTGCCTGTATGTACGCAGGTGAAAGCCATTTCAAAGCAGGTCGACGACACTCCCCGTCGAGCCATGGGTACTAATCAAAATCGCTCAACTATGATCATGGAGGTGGAAACCTTGCCTTGGAATGAACAAGATGCGGTGTTGTGAGGGGAACCAATGATTCAATGTTGCAGAATTTGTGGCGATCCTAACCTTTCATTTCGGCCTAAAATGAAGCGCCGTTAGAACCGATCAGTAATCAATCCTAAACAGATTCTACACAATTAAAAAATGTGTACGCTCAAAATAAAACCATTATTTGGACGAAAAGAATAAACTAACGCAAATTTTCAATATTTATCTCAATTCAAGGAACTGGCAGGCAGCTTCTACATCTTTCTAACGTAAGCGTCTATACAGACTATTATACACATTGAACTCAGGCCGCCAGATAAATTTGGTTCTCAGTGTATGCCTGATGGAGCAGCGATCAGCGTTGTAGCTGCCCATGTAATGAAAAAACGAAGTAAACGAAACCGTAAAAGAATTTGGTTCCGAAAATGGATCAGGGAGAGGTACTGGGGATGGGTGTGCTCCATATGCTGAATAAAAAACTTCTATACTCGGGAACCGAAATGAAAGAGACCAGCGAAACACATCGCGCATCCATGCTAACGCGGAATCTTTTCAAATTGACAAAGTGGGTGCACGTGTAGTGCCATATTCAAAATGACGCCGCCTTGGCATTGTCGTGCGATGTGTTTCTCTACTCTCTTCCGTTCCGGTTCCCGAGTATAGTGGAGGATCTAATGGCTGATAGAAATGTTTTGAGACACTCTAATATACAATTCGTTGTAGGTGTCTGCGCGCTTTTAGCATGATATTATTTAGAAAAGGCTCTTGTAAATAGTTTAGCACGCAGTTTGTTCATACAAATGCTGTCTGACACTATTCTTAATTTTTTACGAAACTTAGCGTACTAAATTCAGCACAAAATTTCTTATCGTGGCAGACGGCCTTAAATTTTAGAACTTATTACAGATAGTTATTCTAATTAATGACAGAAAATTGCGTGGAAAATACCAACGAATTCGAATAGAGGCAGCCATCCAGTGTTTGTTGCCATAATGTCAAAACAAACAAAACAAATCATGCATGCTTACTCCGACCTAGTTCGAATTCGGAAGAAGAAATTGCGCCATTATTATGTGTGCTCTCAATGAATGATAATCAAAGGTTGCCGAACTTCATATACCCATACTGATTCAAAGGGGATTCAGTTGCCCTTGTTCTTTCCGCAATCTTAAACCCTTCAAATCTCGTGGTGGCTTAGAGCTACGGGCATTGCCCTCAGCTCCCAGCATCTGGTAATTGATACCTGCCAGCATTTAAATTAGCAAAGAGGAAGAGATACCTGTTGAACGTCATTGGCCGATTCATTTATATTGAAATGGCGAAGCAATTTAGCGGAAATGATTTAGGTAGTGCGTGGTAGGCGTCCACCCTTCGCTTCCCTTTTTGGTTTTGCGCTTTGGTCCGGTGTTGTCGGCCTTTTCACTCACTC